ATACACAATCACATTGTCTTTTATTTTTTATTTTTTTTCATATTCTCCCTCTAAGTATATATTTCTTTTGTAGTGGGCCGTCTAGGTTTGATTGGGATCAGGATTCTCGATCTTGGATTTACAGGCGAACAAAGCAAGAACTGCTCAAATTGTTGGAAACTGAGTTGCAAAAGCTCTGTGGAGAACCCGTTAGTCTTTCCTAAAGTCTCTTGAACCGATGTGTGTTTACTTTTTACATGTTTTTTTTACTCAGTAAATCCATTAACCGACTTTCTTTTTCCTCTTATCACCTCACTTTCACTTCTCCTACGGCCAAAACAAGGTAAACAGAGAAATTTGCATCGCCAGCCTTGTTCATGCAAAGAGTGCCATGTTAGGACATGAATTATTGGGTCTTTATCCAAATAAACATTATATATTGACTCAAATGAAATATGAGGTAAAGTGTTAATGTCATAACAATATTAAGATGTAATAGACCACACAAGACAACTACCACAAATCCTTTATTAAAAGAGTAAATAAACATCATTTTCACTCAAGTGAAAATAGTTGGTGAGGCAAAAGATGCAAGTATATATAAGAACTCTTGGTAAGTTTATATGGATTGGTTGTTCGGATCATTTTACGATTGGTTTGGTCAATATTTTACTGACCCGGATGGGTCGATGGCTAGTTGAATTGGTGGACATTTGGATCGTTTTATGATTAGTTTCGATAATATTCGACTGACCTAATAAATCCAGTCGTAACCCAGTGACCCGAGTATCTTTTAACCACATTGTATGGTATGTTAATTTCATACTACATAAATCGTTGGACAAATCAACTAAGACCTAGGGCTGTAAACGAGCCGAGCCGAGCCAAGTATTGATCTTATCGAACAAAATTGATTTTGTTTTTTACCTACTTGAGCTCTAGCTCGATTTATGACGATTGAGATTGACTCAATAAAAGAAGACAATTGCTCGAGTTCAGCTCGAGAACGATTTATATCAAAATGCTTGAAAGATTGCTTGAGCTCGGCTCGACTTTGACTCAAAATTCAAGTAAAGTTACCATTAAGTATATATATAAAATATTGTAATATTTATATATAAGGAGTATTTTAGTAATTCTATACGCGAGTGACCTTTCAAAACCTATGCTCGAGAGCGACTGGATAACATGCTCGAGCCACTCGAGTTCGGTCAAACGTGAGCTAGAGTCGAGCATTGACTCAAGCGCTCGTGATCCGCTCAATTCGTTTGCAGCTCTACTTGTACATTGATCGGCAAATGACCCATTTAGTATTTTTTCAACTAACACCATCTTGAACCGTTTTCACATGCCAAAGGACATATTGTTAAAGAAAAAATAATAAAAATAGTTATAAATACATCGTAACAAGTAGGGTTGGTATACGTTCGGTAACTAAACCGATAAGGAAAAACCGATACCGAACCGATATGTTCGGTAACACTAACATACGAAACCGAAACCGAACCGATTAGAAGTCAGTAACCGATTTTCGGTTACCGAAAGCACGGTTCGGTTTTGATTTTTTACCGATAACAAACCAAAAACCGAACCCTGCTAACAGGTTTGTAATTGCTAAAATATCAAGCAAATGCATTAAATCTCTTATGTTTGTTGCAAACACTTTCTCTTGCACCTTAATTTCAATTCTTGCTTCCAGTACCATGAGTGTTTTGACAATCAATCACCTAAATAGCTAACAATTTGTAATAACAATGAATAGCAGCAGTGAAACAGAACTAACAGCGTTACAACACAAAACCTTGAGCTACCATTCAAATGTATGTGAAGCCGGGCAACAAACTCCGCAAACCAAACCCGAATCATGATAAATCACATTGCACTTTAGTTTCAGCAGAAACGTGGACATTCAATTTGGCATAACTAAAATAACTCCCCAATCTGACAACTATAATGAGATGCCACAATATTTTCACTTATTCTGATCGTTTTTCTTTTAAATCCTTATTTGTTCGGTTTTAAAAGAACTTTTATGGGTCGGAATCGATATCAATTCGATAACCGATAATTGGTTACTGTTACGAACGATTCGGTTCAGTTTGGTTTACTTTCTCTTCAATTTGGTTCGGTTCGGTTTTCGGTTTGCGGGAGAAAAATACTAGCCCTAATAACAACAAGTATGTCATTTCACTCAAGAATTATGTACTCATAAAAATATTATATACTAAGTCAAAAATCAAATTATATTTGTTCATTTTGACTCGGACAAATTCACACCAATGTTTGTGTATCCAAAAGAATGATTTTCCACCACAATATCTTGATTCTTTCACGTTTTCTTTTTTTATAATCAGTTCCTTTGATGACACTCAAACGAAGGTATTAAATTTAATGATTATAAAAGGGAAATAATTGAACTGCAAAACGTACAGCCTACATTTAAAGAAATGATAGGCATGTGGATATGAGAAATTCCCTCAATCACAGTTTCAGTCTTTCTATTATTTCATTAATAAAGTTTCTATGCGGTTTTGTTGTGGAGTAATCGGATGGCTCGACTTTTGGAGTCATCCATAGTTATTTACAAATAATGTATTGACACGTGTCTTTCAATAAATACATATTGGATATGTGTCAGTACATAAAGATATGGATGACTCCATAAGAGAGCCATCCGATGACTCCATAGAGTTTCTGAGTTTCTATGTAAGCACTATTTCTTGGTACTCTCAATTTCGATATTTTAGTGCCATTTTTACTTACATTCACTGTAATACTAAGTCTCAAATGGGAGGTCATGACATAAGTAGAACCGTCAATCGAAACGAGTTGTTTGTGAATACAATCCGATTTGGTTTGTAAAAGCTCAATTTTAGTTCACAATCGAGTCAGTTTATTAAAAGTATAATTTATTTTTAAAAGAGTCGAATGAAAATTATTTTTATTTAATCCATCAAAAAATTGAAATTCATGTCCACATCAAAAAAGCCCGATCTCTAGTTGTAGCTTAAGGAAAGTTTAAGCCGAGCAATTCCCTGCCATTAGTTTTGCTTAAATTATTCTAAGTTAGTTAAGTAAACTTCTAGCCACTACTTCCCACATATTTGTGGAGAAAATATACCTGCCATTAGTTTTGCTTAAATTATTGGTTAAGGTAAAATTCTATCCACTACTTCCCAGATATTTGTGGACAAATCCTTCCTATATATAATTCCCGAATGCGCTGAGCCTATGTGGCTGTTTCTGGTGCTTCGGAATCCTACTTGGCAATCATGCTTCGTAATTAGGTTTGGACAAATAATATTGATATATTAATAATTAAAATCTAGGTTCGGACATTCCATAAATATTATTGAGCTAACTTAGGTATTTTAATATCACTTGTACTAATATAACCCTTTAATTACAAGGAATTTTACATAGTGAGAAACTAAGTGACTAATATATCCCCAACTTTTGATTTATTTCCTTCAATTAGCTATTGAATTGTAAATGTATATTAAAAGTTGATAACTTTTGTATTTCTTATCAGTTTTATATATATAATATATCAAATTAATCATCTTTTGATGATCTTCGATTTGATATCCATATTGTATATATTGAAATAAATAAATTATATTTATATTTATAATAATAAAAGATAATTATATTTATTAAAATTCATTAGAAAAATAAAATTATTTCTCAATTGATATATTTATGATTAAAGTAGTTATATGTTGTAAGTTAAAAAATTATTATAATATAACACAAGTAAGTCGCGCAAAATAAAAAGTGTCATATTAAATATATAATATATATATATATATATATTTTTATAAAATGTATTTAAATTTTTAACTATTTTTTTTCATTAATTATAGATTTTAAGAAAGAAATTAGCAAACACCCGTGTAATACACGAGAGTTGTACTAGTGTATATATATATAAAAAAAATTGGTAGCCTTTTATTTGTTTTGCTTAAATTATTTTGTTAAGTAAACTTCTAGCCACTACTTCCCAGATATTTGTGGAGAAAATATATATAATATACATATAAATTGGTAGCCTTTCACTTATTATTGTATATAGAGTAAAATTTTAATCGAATAACTACAAACGTTCAGTACGAGACTACGAGGATTTGGGGTTTTGGTGTCTGGAGATCTTTTATTGAATATAAATTCTAAAGTATTTGATCAAGTTTGTGAAACTACATTTGAAAACTAAATTGAAAATATAAATTTAAAAGTATTAAACGATTTGGCCCATTAAAAAATATTAATGAAACATAAGAAATGAAATAATAAATTTAAGTGTATTATTTTTTTAAAATATGCATGATATATATATGTATATATATGTTAAAAAATATGGCTATATCTTCTAGTTCTTAGTGTTGCGTGTGTTTTCCTTTTTAGGTTGATTCTAGATTGTTTAGTTATTTTTCAATCTATATTTATGTGTTTTGTTTTATAAATTATATTGTTTAAAAAAATTAATATATACACATTAAACAAAGACATAAAAAAATTAATATATACTCCATTTAAATTAAAATCTCCATCTTCAGACGATGCTCGAAGGAGATCAGGATGGAATCCCTCTTCTCACGCCTGAGAAGCTCTCCAGGCGGCCTTGAAGGTACTCATGTCTCATGGCATAATATGTGTTGAAATTGTTCGTGCACGTGTGTGTTAAACTCTCGCCGAGGTTGTGTGAAATTAAAACTTACAACGAGATCTCTGTAGGATGCTAATTAAGATGAATAGATG